ATCTTTGTATTTTCTTCTTTCCTTTCTTGAAGTTCTTTGTGACTCTTGGAAGATAAGTGTGTTTGTCTTCCACTTGTAAATTTCTACTGATGAATTAATGAAAGTGCTATTGATCAAAAAAAAAAAAAAGAGGAGCAAAAGAATCTTAACTCCCCAGAACAGAAATACATCTGAATTAAACACTCAAAACCTTACAATTGAGCCCAAAACCCAAAATTTCTAAAAACTCCTTGCCTAGCCAATCCATCAGCAAAGGAATTAGCATTTCTTTTAACCCAAGTACATAGGACTTCCATATCCTTAATCAGCCACTTGAATTTTCTTTTCTCATTGCTGTAGCTCCACATCTTGGAAGTGTCTTCTTTCAGCCAATCCACAACAACCGCAGAATCTCCTTCTATAATCTGTTTCTTAACTTTAATTTCTTTGGATCTTTGCACCCCAATACCCGAAGGCCTGGGATTCCCAATGCTACTGCCATCAAAATTTAGTTTGACAAGCCTAGGAGGTGGAGGGTTCCACATGAGATTTAAATTCTTCTTCCTTGTAACTGAGCTAGCAACTTCTTTCCACTTTCTTAGCAAATCGTTTGTTGAAAAATCTGTAAACTCCTTCATTGTCTTCAGCCAGTGTATTACTCTTATATAAATCAATTCTACCATATTTTCTAAGCCTCCCTCCTTTTCCGAGAAGATCCTTTCTTTCCTTCCATAAAGTCCAACAAACAGCAGCTCTCACGCATCTCCACATAATTCTTGATCTTTTCGTTGAGCATTCAACAAGTGAAGAGGAAAACAAGTTTTACAGGCTAGTTGGAGGTGTCCACCTGCACCCAAATAGAGAAGCAAACCAATCCCAAATATTTTTTTCCAAAACACAAGATATTATTAAGCGGTACCCAGACTCACCAGCAGCTTTGCATAAAACACAACAGTGTGGAGATAAACAGCTATTGGGTCTTTTTCCTTGAAGTCACCTGTTTGATTCTTTCAAGGATAACTTCCCAACAAAAGCTCCCAACCCTTGGAGGTATAGGCGTACACYACACTTCCTTGAYARGGAATGAYAGTCCAATAGGAATTTCTGGTTGTATCAGGGCTTTAAAGAAGGATGCACAAGTAAAGGATCCAGAGGGAGACAAAGACCAGATCCTACCATCTGTTTTTTTGGGTTCCAAGAAAATCCCATCAAGAATGGACAGAAGAGAAGAAACATTATCCAGTTTTGTGTCCCTGAGTGCTCTTCTCAAACCCAAGTTCCAACCAAACCCAGAATTTGAGTTTGAAGAAATGAGGAAATTGGTAATTGGTTTATTTTTTAGGGTGGAGATTGCAAATGGAGCCGGAAATTGTTCTTTCAAAGGGGTCTCCCCAACCCAAACATGTTCCCAGAACTTTATGAGATTACCCGAATGTAAATAATACCTGATCCAAGGAGAGAAGAGAGGCAAAATAACTTGGTTGGATTTCCAGGGTGATGCTCTTGTAGCCATAGCCAGAATTTCAAAGTCCCAACCAATCTCTGCAAGCCCATGAATACTACAAATTATCTTAGTCCACAATTTCTCCCTCTCCAAAGAAAACCTCCATAGCCATTTCCCTAGCAAAGCCAAATTCCTCTTCCTTATATTCCCAATGCCTAGCCCTCCATCCTGCTTATTCCTACACACCATCTCCCATCTAACCCTATGATCCTTTTTTTCCTCTCTCGGCTCCCACAAGAAGTCCCTCATTAATTTTTCCAGCTTGCTAGCCACCCTTGCAGGCACCTTAAAGACTGAAAGGTAATAGATGGGCAAATTAGCTAGGGTAAGACCTGATTAAGGCAATTCTTCCCCCAAGAGATAGGTAGTTTTCTTCCAAGAAGCAAGTCTCTTTTCAAACCTCTCCACTACAAGAGTGCAAAAACTTCCTTTTTGAGGATTATCTCCTAGAGGAAGACTGAGGTAAATCAAAGGCCAATTCGATACTCCACACCCCAAAAAATTTGCACATTCAAGGATCTCATTTTCCCCCATATTCACGCCTACAACACAACTTTTGTCAATATTAGCTTTCAGACTGGACATTTGCTCAAATAGTTGTACTGTAACTTTCACATTCCTAATCCAATTCATGTCCCCCCCTCACAAAACAAAATCGTATCATCTGCAAACTACAAGTTTGTTAATGGTATACTTTCCCCTCAATGCTGGGAAGAAATCTACCACCGTTCCGTTCACCAAAATAGAGTAGTGGCAAGACCGAATACACCCCAACACCCATCTGCACCATCTATCTCCAAACCTAAAATTAGTCATCATCTCCAACAAAAAGGACCAGTCTACAAAGTCATAAGCTTTTTCCAAGTCTAGCTTACAGACCACCCCCTTCTTCTTAGATCTCTTGAAGTCCTCCACACTCTCATTCGCTATAAGAATTAGATCAGTGATTTGCCTGCCCCTCACAAAAGCTCCTTGATTATTTGAAATGATGGTATTGAGCACCTGTCTAATCTTGAGGGACAAAACCTTCACAATGATCTTATATAGATTGTTCACTAGGCTAATAGGTCTATAATCCCTTGGATGTGTTGCCTCTCTCTTCTTGGGAACCAAAGCAATAAATGTGGAATTCAACCCCGGCTTAATCACTCCTCTTCTGTGGAACTCTTCAAAGACCATCATTAGCTTCCCTCAAAACCTCCCAACAATCTTGGTAGAATGCCATCGTAAAACCATCTGGGCCCAGAGCCTTTGATCTAGCCATGGAGAATACTACCTCCTTAACCTCCTCCACCTCAAATTT